CTTGGCCGGCGAGAGCTGGGTGGAGAGGACGGGGTGTGGGGTGAGCACTGGGCATCCTCTGGTGCCCTGAAGCACCCCGGGGTGCCCCCTCACCTGCAGGATGGCCTGGCTGTCCATGTGCAGCAGGGTCTGGTGCTCCACCTTCTGCCGGGAGCCCAGCCGGCTCCAGCGCACCAGCGGCCGCGGTTCGCCCCGCCCGAGGCACTCCAGGCTCAGGGATTTGCCCTCCTTCACCATCACGGGGCCTGGTGGCATGACTGACACGGTGGGGGCACCTGGAGAAGGAGGAGGACAGGGGTGTGGGGATGGGGACACCACCGTGAGGGATGGCCATGGGGGCACCATCACCTTGGGGATGTCGGGAACACGAGGAGGACGTGAGCATGGGGGTGGGGCTGGGGACCCCACCATCCCAGGGGCATCTGGAGCATATGGAGGACCCAGGGATGGGGACATATCATCCCAGGGGCATCTGGAGCACATTGAGGACATCGCCATGGGGATGGGGACATCACAACCCCTGGAGCACCGGGAGGACACCAGCATGGGGACACGGGCACCTCCACTCCAGGTGAAGCATGGAGGGGACATGGGGTATGTGGAGCATGTGAGGACACCAGCATGGGGACAGGGACAGGGATGCCACCACCCTGGGGGCACCTGGAGGACATGAGGATGGGGACACCACCAGTGCAGAAAGACCTGGAGCCCATGAGAGACACCAATGTGAGGATGTCAATGGGGATGCCACCACCCAGGGGGCATCTGGAGCACACAGGGACAGGGACAGGGCCACCACGGCCACCTCATACCTTGCACCACGAGGTTGACGACGCTGCTGGCGACGCCGAAGCGGTTGGAGGCCACGCAGTGGTAGGCGCCCTGGTTGCCCACGTGGGCACCAGTGATGGAGATGACCGAGCCATTAGCGCTGATTTTCACGTTGTCTGGGCAAGGAGAGGCCATCAGCACCGGGGCCATGCTGGGTACCGTGCCAGGGCCACCCCGGGCACCACTATACCTTGGAAGTGCTGGCCAGGTCCCATCCGCCAGGTGACGTTGACGGGCCGGGCGCCGTCGTGGACGCGGCACTTGAAGGTGGCATCTTCCCCCGGTGCCACGGCCATGCTGTGCGGGTCGATGGAGATGATGGGGCTCTGCAGGCCTGCAGGGACAAAGGGACAGGGAAGCCATGAGGCCACCCATGTCACCCACATCCCCTACCATCCTCCCCCACCCCACTGCCGCACTCACGGTAGCTGGAGCTGTCCCGGGAGGTGACGGTGACGGTGACAGTGGCCTCGCGGGAGACACTGCCCGTGTCTGCCCGGCACACGTACTCCCCCGAGTCGGCCACCGAGAGCTGCGACAGCCGCAGGCGGGACCCCGACATCCGGGGACATCACAACACCAGGTGGTGGCATCAACCAGCCACCCACAGCCACTGTCCCCCACCCCACAGGTGTCCCCTCCTACCTGGTGCTTGGCCGGGAGGGACCCCCCGCGCTTGTACCAGGTGATGGTGGCCTGTCCCTCCCCGGCCACCACGCAGTCCAGGTCCAGGGTCTGCCCCTCAGTGACAGAGGACGCCGAGGACTCGATGCGGATGGGCGGCGTGATGGCAGAGGCTGAAGGGGAAGGGTTGGAGTGACTGTCCCCAGTGGTCCCCCACACGGGTGGGGATCCGTCCCCCAGAGGGTGGCACTCACAGTGGGATGGGTTGGCCCCGTCATCGATGGTGACGATGAGGGACGTCTCCTGGGTGACGCCCCCCGATGTCACCCGGCACACGTACTCGCCCGAGTCGGCCGCCGTCACCTGGGGGATGCGCAGGCGGCTGCCCGACACCTCGGAGGGGACAATTTGGAGACAAGTCAGCACTGCAGAGCAGGGGATGGGATAAACTCAAGGTGACCTCCCTCTGTGCCCTACCTGGTGGCCGGCGGGCAGAGACCCCCCGCGCTTGTACCACGTCACGGTGGTGGGGCC